TGACTTGGGAGCCACTGACCCATGGAAAAATCAGTGAGGGATCACACAAGTGAGAAGCAAAAAAACTCCTCCCAAAACCCCTAACCCTCACTGATGTGGCCCCCAACTGAGATGCCTCACTCCTCTGGCTCTTCAGCCCCAAGGGTGTGGGGAAGGGCCAGGGAGGACTGAAGTTCAGGGTCATTAAGTGAATAATCAGTTTGGCTGAAATGGCAGGCAACAGCTTTCTCTCTATGAGAGAGTCTTATGTCTGTTTTGTGTGCGTTGATTCTTTGGCAAAGTGTCTGAGACATTTGTCCAATGTACATAGCACCATCATGTGCCTAAAGTGTCCGTCTGCTATGTACATTGAACAAATGTCTCAGACACTTTGCCAAAGAATCAACGCACACAAAACAGACATAAGACTCTCTCATAGAGAGAAAGCTGTTGCCTGCCATTTCAGCCAAACTGATTATTCACTTAATGACCCTGAACTTCAGTCCTCCCTGGCCCTTCCCCACACCCTTGGGGCTGAAGAGCCAGAGGAGTGAGGCATCTCAGTTGGGGGCCACATCAGTGAGGGTTAGGGGTTTTGGGAGGAGTTTTTTTGCTTCTCACTTGTGTGATCCCTCACTGATTTTTCCATGGGTCAGTGGCTCCCAAGTCAGAAAAAGTTCCCCACCCCTGTCATAAGTAAACATTTAAATCTATTTTACTTTATTTAAAATGAAGTTTGATCAACCAACATGAGAATGTTAAAATGCTTAATATGTTTAATAATTTAAATTAAACCATTCTCCCCAGCTGTAGCACCAGCAAAATGGCTCGGGTGTAATTATGTAATTAATTGTGAGTTTCTATTAGCAACTAGTAGTCTGTGGAAAGATTTGGAGAGGGTGGGACCTCAAGAAAGGGGTTGTGTCTCAGGGGAAGGAATGGGGTAGATCCTGGCCTGCCCTGACATTTAAAAAGTGATAGTGGGTAAAAAGGTTGGAGACCTCTGATCTAGATAGTGGTGCAGTGCCCAGGGAATCTGATGCACAAACATGGGGTTACTACAGGACAGTAAACATCACATGCAATGTAACCAGCAAACAGAGTGAATACAATTCTTACTTTGTCATATCCTCCAATCTCCCCAATCCAGCTCTTAGGGACTGCGTCCCAAGCCTCCCCTTCCTCCTGCAAGGAGCCAGCATAGAAAGTAACTTGAAATTAACTTCTCTCCCACACTGTGCTGCCTCAGGAAACCTGAGGATTCCTTTCCCCTCCCACTGATTCACCTGTGGACTGGGGATTCCCTCCTCCTTCTCCTCCCCCTCCCCATGCCACTGCTCTTGGGACTTGCATGGCTCCTCACTGGGCCAGACTGTGCCTTCCCCCACTCCCTGCACTGCTTCTCCTTTTGTTTGCCAACAAAACCCAAAAGACCATTTCCTGATTTACACCCCCGAACAATACCAGGGAAATCTGCTAGTTTACATAATATAGGCATTGCTATCATAGTACTGACATGTACATTTCTCAGTAGCTTTACATATAAAATAACCCAGCCCCATTGACCTCCATGGGGAATGTACCTTTCAAGCAGTGGTGGGGAAGGTTAGTGACATGGTCTTCTCTGCCCTGTAATTGTCATAGTTACTTTAGTATTGTCAGTCTGGCTTGTGAAAATGGAGGGCACTTGATAGTTTTGCAGTATTCCCATTGTTCAGTTAACTGGTTAATTGTTAGCTCACACTGGGGCTGCCACCAGCTCCAAGCCCCCTCTGAAGCAGCCCTGTCCACAGCCTCAGCCAGACACTGGCAGAGTCCTTGCCTGCCAAACCCTCTGGGTTCCCCACAGACAGAGGCTACTCCGAATGAGAGCAACCCCTGTCTGCAGCGAACCCTTTGCATGGCTGGAAGAGCCCCTCCTGCTCACAGCAGATGGGAGAGCTGTTCCAACCCCCTCTGAGCACTAGTTAACTGGAACTGGTAAGCATCATCCATTAAGAGGACTAAGGAAGTTGTCTCATGTAACTGTGGGATAGCTCTGGATGACTCCCAGGCCCTGAGTCAAATGGGGCCGCATCTACTCTGCAAAATTCTAGGTCTCAGATCCTGGATCTCATCTTGAATCAAAGTTGGTCGCCTAGTGCTGCATGTCAGGGCATGCACTGTCATGGGACCTTAGGTCTGGACTCTGGGTTAATGCAATTGCAGTATATTTGCATGGGGGATGTCTATGGGGCCCAAATCCATTCCTATAGGTAGAGGATGGTGGGAGCAGTTCTTAGAGGGGCCAAATGACACCCTTTACTTCCAGTCATATGTCCATCTTGACCTCAGAAGTACTACCCCTGGGGTGGGACTTCAAATGGCAGGCAGAGCCTACGAGGTCAGGGGGCATAGCCAATGTGTCCCCATTTTTGCTTTATAGAATATGTTCACTGTATTCATAAAAATGACATGGGGGCCCTCAGGGCACAGTGCTTAGAAGTAGCATGTGGAATTTTTGGCACAGTACTTAGCAGCAGCCTGGGGGTTGGGGCACAGTGCCCAGGAGCAGCGGGGGGGGGGGTGTC